TGGGGGGGGGGGGGGGGCTCGTGCGCTCTTCCAGCCCCACGGCCGCCCACGGCAACCCACCCGGTTCTGAAATCCAAGACTCACAGCCTACCGCGGGACCCTCAGGCGGGCGCACAATAAAACGCGTTGATTTCAGCGCCGGCGGGGGAAGAACTCGCAACGCGCGTCGCCGGAGGATGCGAAGGGCTGAGCGGGCGGAGGGGAGGGAAGGAGAGGATTCGGCCCAGCGGCGACGGCCGTTATTGGCGCATGCGCCCATCAACGGCGTCCCCAGCGTTGCCTAGCAACTCCCGGCGCCGGAAGAGAGCCTGGCCGAGCTTTGTCAGCGCTTCCGCGTCGGCTCTGGCAAGATGGCGGCGGCGGCGGCCGCCTATGATGGCGAGCGGGAGGCAGCGGTGGAGGCAGACGGGTGAGTGGGGGAGGCGATTGGTCCCTTCTGTCGTTGGTGTCTCGGGTGACGGCCTAGCGAACGGCTTCGGCTCTCCCTTTCCCGGCGTATTCCTCCTTACTCAGCTCTCCGTTTCTTCTTGGAGTCGCGCCACTGCTGATTTCTTGGGTGAAATAACTCGTCGTCTCCGAAGACCTTTACAGCCCTTTGGGGTTCGCGCCTCCCGGCATTCGTGCATTGCTTTCCAGTGTCCAAAGAGCTCCGCGTGCGCTGCTGTGATCCCTGCAACAGCCCTCGAAATTAGGTTTGATACAAGGGAAGCCCCGCAAGGAACCTGCGGGGGGAGAGGGGGGCATTTCCCCCACCTTTGCTTCCCTCCCCCCCTTCTCTGTCAAAGCCCCCTCCTGTCTTTCTGCACCCACCCCTGATCTGTCAATCTTCCCTCTCCTCCCCCTCTCACCCCTTCTGCGTGAGCTTTCCTCCCGACCCCCTCCTCTAGGAATTCTTTCTCACCCCCTTTCACTTTTTTTTTAACAATTTTTTAAAATTCTCTGAAACTACAAGAAAAAACAGGATTGGGGAACTACAAACTATGGGAGAAAGTAAAGCATAACCACTAAAAACCCAAGGGGTGGAGGTACTACAATTGTTGCATTATAATAGCTTCTAATATAATAGCTTCTAATAAAACTGAAGCTCAAATACTTTGGCCACCAAATGAGACGGAGCACTCACTGGAGAAGACCCTGATGCTGGGAAAGATTGAAGGTCAAAGAAGACGGGGACGGCAAAGGATGAGATGGTTGGACAGTGTCATCGACGCAACGAACATGAAATTGAGCCAACTTCAGAGGACAGCAGAAGACAGGAGGGCCTGGCGTGACCTGGTCTATGGGGTCGAGAAGAGTCGGACTCGACTGTGCGACTGAACAACAACAAATATATAAGGTTAAATTATTACATTGCAAGTGATCAATAAAAGTCGCTTATATAGTTCGAGTCCAGATAATCTGATTTAGTAAGGTTCAACACAAAAGTCAATTGTAAAATTAAAAGCAAACTTCAGAGAAAATCAGCATCTCATTTTTTGTGTCTTCTTTCCCTCAATCTCGATAGCCTTGGTTAGGGGCCTCAACCACTTTCTCCACTCACCACTTGTTATGTCTCACTCCTCTCTTACCTCAGCCCTTCTCAGTCTGCCCCCCCACACACACAGGCCTCCTTTTCTGCAGCTTCCTCGTTTTTCTGGGGTCCTCTGCCCCACAGTTCCAGGGCTGCCTTGCTGGCAGTGGGGAGGCCAGCTGCCTGGGAAGGACCCAGCGACATGTTGGCGTCCCCTGCCCCGTTACTCCAAGGCTGTCTTGCTGGCTGCGGGGAGGCTGGCCACTGAGCGAAGCGAGGAACCACAAGTTCGGACTGCGCAAGTGCAGACAACTCAGGGTTTTTTTTAAACTTTATGCATTTTTCTGCAACCTTGGAGAGTGTGCAGAAAAACCTCTTTAGCCTCCAGGGGCCCTTGTTCTGCGGAAATAAGTATCCGCACGCAGTATGACCCTTGACTATTAGATATAGATTGTTACCCATTTGTAGAACAGTGAAGGAGGGGAGTGGCTTGCCTAACTTGTGAATTCGTGACAGAGATGAGATTCGAAGTAGGGGGGTTTCCTGATTTGTATCGCAGTCTATTAGCTGCTATGCTGCATCGTATCTTGCCATTTCAGTCAGCGGGAGGCAAAGGAGGCAAGTAGTGACTATTCCCCCAGAGAGCAGGATGCAAGGAAACTTGGTCACTGTTTGAAGAAAACTTGCCTGTTGCAGTGGGGTCAGAAGGCAGGCTCTAAAGTCATGTCTGCTAGCCACACAGAAGAATCTGGAGAAAGGGTCATTGTGTAATGTGGTATCTTTCTCTTCAGGGTGCTGCCTTCAGAGGTGGAAGTCTTAGAATCCATCTACTTGGATGAGCTGCAGGTGTCTAAAGGAAATGGCAGGTATTTGAAGCACTGCTGATCGTGTTACTGGCTTTTTTTAATGTCAAGTGTTGTTGTCTACTATATCAAAGTCCCATCTTGATAGAAGTGCATGTGAGTGAAAAGTCTGCTGTTTGTGTTCCTCAGTCCAGAAAAGAAGAAAATGCACAAACTCTGCTTCATTTCTCTTTCATTATTGCTCTTTTTCTAAATGATGGCTGACCCTCACCTGAAACTTCCTTTTAACTTAGGGTCGTGCCCTGGGAAATCTTAATCACCCTGTATCCAGCAACTGCTGAAGATCCGGACTCACAGTATGTCTGCTTCACTCTTGTGCTCACTGTGCCCACTCAGGTAAGACTCCTCCTTTCCTGGGTGGCTGTTTTGTAGTGGAACATTGCTGGACTCTTCATTTCAACTTTGCTTTGTATTGTTTTAGTATCCCAATGAAGTGCCAAAGATAGATATCCGGAATCCTCGAGGGCTATCAGATGAGCAAATCCAGAAGTAAGTGTGTGTGAATAAACTCACCACTAATGAGGTAATTTTTAATCTGTTTCATATTTCTGATAGAAACAGGATTCCCATTTGATCTTGTTCCTTATGATTTTATGTGAAATGTGTTTATGTTCAGGAACAGCAGATCTTGTGTTGCTTGGAGGTACTTAATTTTTTACAAGAGTTGTGGGAGATACCAGTTACAGAATGTTGACTCAGTGGGCAGAGCCAGTCCCCATATGGGGGCTTGTACAAAAATAGCATTGAGGTGGTCTGCAATGCTGAAGTGAAGAACAGTTTTGTTGCTATTTTCCCAATACAGACCACCCCTACCCCCAAATTGTATCTTGCCCTTTGGTGGAAAGATATACAGTTGCCTCTGTATTTTCCTTGGAAGAGTCAAATAACCTTTTTGATATTCTTTTCGTGTCTTGAGTGAGGATGTGTGTACAGTCATGAAGGAAGGGGGGGAAAGGAGGATGGACAAGGGTCTGGTGCTGTCATTTCCCCATCCAGAGCAAAGGTGCGTTTATGTGCCTCCTTTTTATGAAAGAAAAAGAAAAAATGATGTGGCAGTGTTAAAGGGAAGGGTAAGAAAGTGGTTCAAGCAGGACTGGAGAACTACTTTCAATTGCTTGAAGTGTGACTGGTCAATCCCAAGTGACTTTTCTACACACCCCTGCTCTTCTTTTGATCTGGAATAGGGCTGTGAAGGCAAAGGGCAAAACTGCTATGATATAACAGTTATATTATAACTGATACTCTGATGAAGAAAGGAAATTACATAGCAAGAATGCAAGTTGTAGCTTCCGTGAACAGGATGTACATTCTGGCAGTTATGACATTAATGTATAAAGTCAGGGAAGGTAAGATAAGAGGCCTTTGTAGAAAAAGTGATTGATTTCACCAAGGTACAAGAAAAGCAATGTATCTTAGCACACCCAGTAAAACAAATGCATTGTTTTCATCCAAAGTAAGGTCCCTGTCCCTGCACATCTGCCTTATGCAGATGGGGAAGGGTCTGTGGCTCAGAGCATCTGCTTGGCATGCAGAAGGTCCCTGGTTCAATCCTTGGCATCTCCAGTTAAAAGGACCAGCCAGTATATGATGTGAAAGATCTCTGCCTGAGACCTGGAGACCTGCTGCCAATCTGAGTAGATAATTCTGACCTCGATGGACCAAAACCCCCATGGGATGTTCCCTGAAAAGCTGGGCAATTCCAGGCTGCTGCTGAACAGATGGGGGAGGAATTGTATTCTTGCAAATTGATTAGAGAGGGGCCTTGCACTACCAAGCCACCGCCACAGGCTAACTCATCATGTGCCATTGTCAGTCTGACAGTGCAGGACCCTTTTGCTGTGCTCTTGTTCCACAGCAGCTGTGGCCTAACTGTATCACATCATGCCTGGAAGGAGGCATTCCTACCACTGTTGTGATACTACTTCCTTTTAATTTGTTCTAAAGTAGCTACTGTGGAAGATGTGATAACTGGTCTAGAAGCTGGGACTAGGGATGTCAGCCTCCCTTTCTGTCACTCACCAATCACCCCACTTGCCTGTTTCAACCACTCTAGATTATCTCTCACTGCCATGCAACCAAACTTTTAAAGACACACACACAGTTAAACATGAAATCATTACAGTCATATTTTATGTTCCTAAAGTAACAGAATGACTTGCAATCTGGAAAAGAAAAAAGAAGTGCTAATGTAGCATTTTTTCAATTTTTCCGAAAATTTCTGTTTTTTCCTGAGCTTCAAAATTTCCGGAAATTTTACATCTCTTGACCCTGCTCCGGAAGTTGCAGCAAGTGCAGAACATGGCAGCATGCGTGTCGATGGTGACACCTGTGCGGGCTCGCATCCACCCAGTGCTGTGTGAACTGCACTGGCTGCCTATTGAATGCCAGATCCATTTCAAGGTGTTGGTGCTTACCTTTAACGCCCTACATGGCCAGAGGCCAGCATGCCTTCGAGACTGCCTCTCCCCATGTCGCAGGCAGGAGCTAGGAAGGTTCACTACTGGCTGCCACCATGCAAGTATGGGTCTCCTTGGAAGGGCCCAGAGCACCCACCCTACCCCTTTTTACAGTACCTTTACAACAGGTCTCCTTTTGTATGACCAAATGAGACGTGAGGACCCAGGCAGAGTAACAAATAGTTTTATTAAGAGATTTAACAACAACTTTAGATCAATAACAAGTAGGAAAAATGAGCAAAGTAAAGGCAGGTAAATCAGTAAATTAATAAAACCTAACACGTCTGTCTACAAAGTCCTAGCCTTCCCTAGGTAACTGACTCACAGTCTAAGTCACCCCTTTTTGGATGAGGGATCCCTCTGTCTGCAGCAGCTTCCACCAGCCCTGATCCCTGAGAGAGAACACCCTCCCACTCTGGGCAAGGCCTTTCATCTCCTCCTCCCGGGCACCACCCTCTGTTCCTCTGCTGGTGTAGTTTTCCCTCCACAATCTCCTGTTACCCAATCACAGGGTCCAGAGGGAACACGGGAAATGTAGGCCCCGATGACTACTCCAATATATAGAATCATAGAGTTGGAGGGGGCCATACAGACCATCTAGTCCAACCCCCTGCCCAATGCAGGACCAGCCTAAAGCATCTCTGACAAATATTCATCCAGGCTCTTCTTGAGAGCTGCCAGTGAAGGGGAGCCACTAGGCCTCCCCAGAGCCTGTAGGCTGCACCACTATAGGCCCATGATCATGGTACCCCATATGAGCCCCAGAGGACACTGAGGTCCGCAAATCAACATCTGTCTAGCAGTCCCTGGCCCCACCTGATGGCATGAACTCCCATATGAGATCAGGGCCCTGCGGGATCTATTACAGTTCCGCAGGGCCTGTAAGACTGAGCTTTTCCACCGGGCCTTTGGTTGAGGCGGCGGGTGTCCCTCTTCCTTCCTGGCTATCCCCCCTCCAGTGGCCTGGATCCCAATATTGGGGTACTGCTAAATTTCAAATAAGCTGATTGACATTGGAACTGTTGCGTGATATTTTAGGGTTTTATTGTTTTAAATTGTTTTTAATGGCTGTTTTAATGTTTTAGGGTTTTATTGTTTTTAATGGCTGTTTTAATGGTACTATATTAAGAATTGTAAACCACCTTGAGCCCACCCGCAGGGAGGTTGGTATATAAATCAAATCAATAAATATCTCCTTCCCTGGTATCTTTTTTTTTTTTTGCCTCTCTCCTAGGATATCTCAGACACTGCAACATCTTGCTGAGGAACATCTGGGTACAGCTGTTCTCTATGAGCTAATAGAGGTAAAAGAACAGAAATGAAAGAAGAGGTGGAATAATGAGGCAGAAGGGGTCAATTAGTTTGGGGAGACTGCACATGTGTAGGTGGAGGGTGGCCGCTGCTTAGGTCTGGCTTCAGCAGGTAAAATTTGCTGTTTCTCACTTCTCAGAAGGGAAAGGAAATCCTCACAGACAACAACATCCCTCATGGGCAGTGTGTGATTTGCCTGTATGGCTTCCAGGTAAGGACATGCTGCAGTAGCATCTTGCTTTCATGTTCTGGGTGTTAGAGAAATTATTGTGGAAAGAGGAAGAGTAATATAATGGTGGGGCTATTCCAGAATAAGAAATGGTTAAAATGCAGGTTGCCAATGTGTGTGTAGGTAGGAGAGGGAATCAGAAAGCAGTTTATAGCTGAAGGCACGAGAACTGAAAGACAGGAGTGTCCTAAGCTCTGCAGTGGTGGGGTATGGTCCAGGCTCTTTTAAGGACTGAATTAACACCAGAGTTACATACTTTATAAATGTATCGTTAGCTAAACTAACACATTAGTTCTGTTTTGAATTCTTCTTTGTCTTTTGTGCAAAGATTCTTTGTGATGCAGCTGTGCATCTCACCAAAAATATGTCAATTATTTGAGGAAGCCCAAATTCTGTATTCATCAAAGATCTTGTCATTTAAACAAATTCACCATACTCTTTTTCTTAAAGGAAGACTTAATGACATTGCAAAATTGGAAATTTCTTTTCAAGGACCAAGTTATGGGGAAAAGGCTGTTGGGGTGAAGCCTAGCAGCTCCCCAAATAGGCTGTGAACAATATATACACATACACATCTCCTGTATATAGATGATTGTGCAGCTACTACAGGGAAATGGATAGTACTGCTATTCTGCAATCTACTTAGCAAAGTTTGTTTATTTTTTAAAAAATACCTTTCCTTTTAAGAATATAAGAGAACATAAGAGAAGCCAATGTTGGATCAGGCCAATGGCCCGTCTAGTCCAACACTCTGTCACACAGTGGCCAAAAATACCAGGTGCCATCAGGAGGTCCAGCAGTGGGGCCAGGATACTAGAAGCCCTCCCACTGTTGCCCCCACCCAAGCATCAAGAATATAGAGTGTCACTTGCCCCAGAGTCCCTATCTATACCTTGTGGCTAATAGAGAACCTCTTGCTCTATATGTTTATCTAATTCCCTCTTGAAGCCATCCATGCTTGTAGCCGCCACCACCTACTGTGGCAGTGAATTCCAAGTCTTAATCACTCTTTGGGTGTTTGAAACTTTCTTCCAATCTAAGGTGCCTTCCTCCAACTAAGTGTTTTTTCCTGTTGAAGGAAGGCTGCTTAGGCTGGAGGAAGGCTATTTCTCAATTCTAAAGATACTAGCTTGTGCATCCCAATAATGGTGATATAAAGGAGCTTTATATGGCACTTTGAGCTCCAAAACCCTTCACATTCATTATCACAGTAGTCTTTACATGAGCCCATTTAAGTATGCTAGTATTCAGTCCTTCAGTGTCCAGTGCCTCTTCTCTGCACGTGGGGAGGGAGTAATTGATTCTCCGTACCTGGGCTTTAGCTCTGCATTCCATATCATGTGTTCTTGCAGGTCCCTGACAGTTTTGATACATTTTTGAGGGGCTTCTTTATTCATGCAGGATGCTGCACATAATTCTTTAAATCCAAGCAGTGGCTCTTGTACAACAAATGCAGAACTGAGGCTCAGGTATCAGCGCACTGTGTCATGTGTGCTGAATATGCACAACACTAGACATAACTTTTCAGAGAAATTTCTTGTGGCTTCTGCTGTGCAGGAGAATGAAGCTTTCACCAAGACTCCATGCTACCACTACTTTCACTCGCGTTGCCTTGCCAGTTACGCAGCACACATGGAAGAGGAGATCTGTGCACAGAGGAGGGAGAGAGAGCAGAGTTTGACATCTTTACCAAAAGAGGTAATTGCCCCTCATCCATCCATTGCAGACCCTTTGAGCATCTACACTTTTGTCAGAGAATAGTTTCTAAGACAGAAAAATCCTTCCAAATTATTTTGATCTGTTTAGTTGCCAATATGACCTGTGTACAGGATTTCCCAGCCTAGGTGTTAAATCAACTTTACCATGCCTGTTGCCTAGCATGTTTTTTGTTGTTGTTTTTGTGAGATCAGTGTAAATTATGTTGAGTCTAGGAAATCTGGTTAAAGGGTCTCGGGAGGTAGATGCCATGTCTATAGCACATTCCAGTTATTAAAACCTCAGGGTTCAGTTGATGGAACTGATCTTTACATCTTCACTGTAGATATACAAGCAGAGAAGGTGTACACTGAGCACATTTGTCAGAATTCCTGGTAGAAAAAATACAGACATTAACATATGCAAAAGGTCACTGTAGCCAGGAAATAAAATTATTCTTCTCCCCCCTCCCCTTTCGGTAACATAGTGAGAATGTTTGTTTGTTTGGGGGGGGGGTTGATGTCAATTTCTATTATGGATAGATTTTGTATTCATTGTGATGTATCTAAGTCATTGTTAGCATTAGGAAGGCTCATTAGCCTAAAAAGGAGGCAGCTGTATTAATGAAACACACCTCATCAAATTAACATCGCTCCCCAAATGCCTGAGTGGCATGCTTGGGAGGAAGATAAGTTGTCTGAGGGTCCCAAGCCAAGTGTCAGAGAGCTGCTGTTTGCTGATAGCCTTGAGCTTGAGTACTAGCATCCCCCTGGGGCAGAGCAACCCCCCAAATAAAACATTGGTAGAACGGGCAGACAGGGTCAAACTATGTTTGAGTTGAAGCACAGGCCTATGATGTTCTTGTTACCATATTCTATACAGGAAGTTGAAGTGCAGTGCCCGGTGTGCAGGGAGCCTCTGGTGTATGACCTTGCAACACTGCAAGCAGCAGCACCACCTCAGCAGCCAATGGTAAGGAGTTAATGTAGAGGGAACTTTCACACTGGTTCATCTGTCTACAAGATGCACCAAGCAAAGGCAAATGGGACCATGGTGTACAAACAACAGAAAGCAGAAGACTGTGAACACTGTGTATGCAAAATATAATAACACTCAATATTGCATGGAATTTATGGGATAAATGAACAAACCATGGACAAATTCAATTTGTCTGTTCAGTTTTAGAAAAGGACATTTCAAGTGTGGGACGTGTTTGGCATGTGTATTTTGTTTGGAGTTAAAAGAATTTAGACACCCCACACTGAATTACTGAGTTAAATTTAAACATATGTCCAGTTGCAGGACCAAAAACTCTGTGTACCTCGTCCAGTGTCCTTGTCAACTTTTGTATGTCGGAACGACCACCAGGGCTAATAAGGAAAGAATATTGGAGCACAGATCTAGAATATCTAATAAGATCACAGACACCCCTCTAGTTCAACATTTTATGGACAAAGGCCATTCTCCTGAAGACATCAGATTTTGTGTTATGTACAGATTTTATTCCCATCCTCATAATCACCAAGATGTAAACAAAGTATTATTACAACAGGAGACTTTTTCATATATAAAGACATATGCTCCTTTTGCTCTTAATCAAAGTTTGGAATTTTCAGCTTACACATGAGTTTTGTTTTTTTATTTCAGTGTATATTGTAATTATGAGTCTGTCTCTTTAAAAAGAGTAAAGCTTAGCAATCATAAGAAATTGCATATCATACTGATTCTCACGGCAAGCCATTAAGATATTATATATACTCACTACAACATTTATAGTTTTACAGCCTTTTCTTGATATTGAAGCTAAATCTTGCTTGAAGTTTTTTCCCCCCTTTCATAAAATCATGGATTGCTACTAGGAGGTTTTTTTATGTTGGAGAGTTGTTCTCTGAAAATACCGGTGAATTGTTTTTTTTAGATAAGCTTTTAATATGCCTTCTTATCATTTGTTTTACAATTTAATTTGGCTTGCAACTGTGGGGATCGTATGCATTATGTCATTTAGATGGAACCTGGTTTGTGCATTTTGAACTCACTAATTGGGACTTCTGAAGAAGGAATGGAAATATTGTTTACCAGAACGGCTGTCAAGTCGCCTAAATCTTCTTGCATTGCAGCATCCGGTGTCCGTGATCTTACTTGGACTCCTTGAGAGTTGTGTATTTATCTTTCTGACTTGGTGTTGATTTCTTCTGATTTGTACAATGATTTTGGCAATTACTTTTGATCATTCTTTTGTAACCCTTTTTAGTACTATAGACACATTGAATTTGTCCATGGTTTGTTCATGTATATCCCATACATTCCATTCAGTATTGAATGTTATTATATTTTGCATACATGGTATTTATAGTCTTCTGCTTTCTACAAGATGCACCAGGCAGGATTCCTATCACCTCGGTGTTCTCATTCTTTCATTATACTTTTGGCCGCCAAATCTTACTAACAGAGGCTTTGCTATTTATGATTGCCCAGTAACCTTGTGCATGACCACAGACTAAGGGGTTGGTAAGAGCTAAATCACGTAATTTATTATTTCATTCATAGTCTGCCTTTTTCATCATATGTGGATTTTAAGTCTGTTCTGTTTCTTGACCTCCAACAATACAAAACCATGTACTGAAAATAGAACACTTAAAAACTTATATATAAATTTGTATAGATTTAATAAAATTATAGAATTTTATGATATATAAGTACAACTGTATCCTAATGCTAACAAAACTAAATATTGCTATATTACATTACAACACAGCATACTCAGAACTCAATTCAAAAAGGATCTGGTGTACTCAGAGTTCATACAACAGGTAAAGTTCATCAATTTCTGAAATTTTACAGTATGAAGATTCTCATTTCTATGTATCTTGCTGCTGTAAAAAAAATAATCCAAGAACTACTTCTTCCAAATATCTTGCTACCACAAGAGAAACGAGCCAAATATCTTGTTGCGGCAAGAGTAGCGATCCGATGGCTCCCCAGATGTATAAGACGTTTCCAGCCTTCTTTCTCAAGGATGGCTTTAACTATGAAATAGATTAACACTTACAGGATTCTGTATTCACATTATGTGCTTAACATATACAATAAAATAATTCTTACCTATTTCTTATGTGAATCATTTTATGGAACCAATCTACATCTTCATGACTGTCAGCTAGCTGCCATTGTCATTCCGGTTCCTGTGTAGTATCCTACAACCCCCCCCTGTGTTGACATTATAGAACTGTTGCGTTCCCATGCAATGGACGCGAATTGCATGTTCTATTCCCGCCAGCGGGAACTGGGCTCATTGGTCCTTACCTGGTTCAAATGTCTATATTATGCCTTCCCTGGTTACCTGTAGTTATTCCTAACAATGTCCTGTTCTGGTTAAACCAACGCTTTGAAATAAACCTTGCTTGCTTTTCAACGTGGAGTTATTTTGAATGCTTGGGATCCAACATTTTGTTAGGAATCCTCTTTCTCTATCGTCCCAATTCTGACGGCCGTCATGAGTGGGACTGAGGGGAACCCAACAACTACGGAGGCAGCTCCGGTTTCGACCGCTCCGTTAGTCACCACGGCTGCCTATTGGAATGAGTACAAGAGCCTTAAGAACCAGAATTTTGGAGCATAAATCACATCTGAAAAATTTAAATGGTCAGGCTCCTTAAGTTTTGCATTATAAAGAAAAAAAATCATAAACCTGACAAATTACGTTTCATGGCTCTATATAGGTTTAGAGCCCATCAGTAGAATCAGATCAATAGCTCTAAAGCCTCTAAAGCAACAAGATATTTGGCTCACTTCTCTTGCAGTAACAAGATATTTGGAAGAAGGGGTTCTTGGATTACTTTCTTTACAGCAGCAAGACACATGGAAAGGAGAATCTTCGTATTGTAAAATTTCAGAAATTGATGAACTTTACGTGTTGTATGAACTCTGAGTATACCAGATCCTTTTTGAATTGAGTTCTGAGTATGCTGTGTTGTAATGTAATATAGCAATATTTAGTTTTGTTAGCATTAGGATACAGTTGTACTTACATATCATAAAATTCTATAATTTTATTAAATCTATACAAATTTATATATAAGTTTTTAAGTGTTCTATTTTCAGTACATGGTTTTGTATTGTTGGAGGTCAAGAAACAGAACAGACTTAAAATCCACATATGATGAAAAAGGCAGACTATGAATGAAATAATAAATTACGTGATTTAGCTCTTACCAACCCCTTAGTCTGTGGTCATGCACAAGGTTACTGGGCAATCATAAATAGCAAAGCCTCTGTTAGTAAGATTTGGCGGCCAAAAGTATAATGAAAGAATGAGAACACTGAGGTGATAGGAATCCTGCCTGGTGCATCTTGTAGAAAGCAGAAGACTATAAATACCATGTATGCAAAATATAATAACATTCAATACTGAATGGAATGTATGGGATATACATGAACAAACCATGGACAAATTCAATGTGTCTATAGTACTAAAAAGGGTTACAAAAGAATGATCAAAAGTAATTGCCAAAATCATTGTACAAATCAGAAGAAATCAACACCAAGTCAGAAAGATAAATACACAACTCTCAAGGAGTCCAAGTAAGATCACGGACACCGGATGCTGCAATGCAAGAAGATTTAGGCGACTTGACAGCCGTTCTGGTAAACAATATTTCCATTCCTTCTTCAGAAGTCCCAATTAGTGAGTTCAAAATGCACAAACCAGGTTCCATCTAAATGACATAATGCATACGATCCCCACAGTTGCAAGCCAAATTAAAGTGTAAAACAAATGATAAGAAGGCATATTAAAAGCTTATCTAAAAAAAACAATTCACCGGTATTTTCAGAGAACAACTCTCCAACATAAAAAAACCTCCTAGTAGCAATCCATGATTTTATGAAAGGGGGGAAAAAACTTCAAGCAAGATTTAGCTTCAATATCAAGAAAAGGCTGTAAAACTATAAATGTTGTAGTGAGTATATATAATATCTTAATGGCTTGCCGTGAGAATCAGTATGATATGCAATTTCTTATGATTGCTAAGCTTTACTCTTTTTAAAGAGACAGACTCATAATTACAATATACACTGAAATAAAAAAACAAAACTCATGTGTAAGCTGAAAATTCCAAACTTTGATTAAGAGCAAAAGGAGCATATGTCTTTATATATGAAAAAGTCTCCTGTTGTAATAATACTTTGTTTACATCTTGGTGATTATGAGGATGGGAATAAAATCTGTACATAACACAAAATCTGATGTCTTCAGGAGAATGGCCTTTGTCCATAAAATGTTGAACTAGAGGGGTGTCTGTGATCTTATTAGATATTCTAGATCTGTGCTCCAATATTCTTTCCTTATTAGCCCTGGTGGTCGTTCCGACATACAAAAGTTGACAAGGACACTGGACGAGGTACACAGAGTTTTTGGTCCTGCAACTGGACATATGTTTAAATTTAACTCAGTAATTCAGTGTGGGGTGTCTAAATTCTTTTAACTCCAAACAAAATACACATGCCAAACACGTCCCACACTTGAAATGTCCTTTTCTAAAACTGAACAGACAAATTGAATTTGTCCATGGTTTGTTCATTTATCCCATAAATTCCATGCAATATTGAGTGTTATTATATTTTGCATACACAGTGTTCACAGTCTTCTGCTTTCTGTTGTTTGTACACCATGGTCCCATTTGCCTTTGCTTGGTGCATCTTGTAGACAGATGAACCAGTGTGAAAGTTCCCTCTACATTAACTCCTTACCATTGGCTGCTGAGGTGGTGCTGCTGCTTGCAGTGTTGCAAGGTCATACACCAGAGGCTCCCTGCACACCGGGCACTGCACTTCAACTTCCTGTATAGAATATGGTAACAAGAACATCATAGGCCTGTGCTTCAACTCAAACATAGTTTGACCCTGTCTGCCCGTTCTACCAATGTTTTATTTGGGGGGTTGCTCTGCCCCAGGGGGATGCTAGTACTCAAGCTCAAGGCTATCAGCAAACAGCAGCTCTCTGACACTTGGCTTGGGACCCTCAGACAACTTATCTTCCTCCCAAGCATGCCACTCAGGCATTTGGGGAGCGATGTTAATTTGATGAGGTGTGTTTCATTAATACAGCTGCCTCCTTTTTAGGCTAATGAGCCTTCCTAATGCTAACAATGACTTAGATACATCACAATGAATACAAAATCTATCCATAATAGAAATTGACATCAACCCCCCCCCCAAACAAACAAACATTCTCACTATGTTACCGAAAGGGGAGGGGGGAGAAGAATAATTTTATTTCCTGGCTACAGTGACCTTGTGCATATGTTAATGTCTGTATTTTTTCTACCAGGAATTCTGACAAATGTGCTCAGTGTACACCTTCTCTGCTTGTATATCTACAGTGAAGATGTAAAGATCAGTTCCATCAACTGAACCCTGAGGTTTTAATAACTGGAATGTGCTATAGACATGGCATCTACCTCCCGAGACCCTTTAACCAGATTTCCTAGACTCAACATAATTTACACTGATCTCACAAAAACAACAACAAAAAACATGCTAGGCAACAGGCATGGTAAAGTTGATTTAACACCTAGGCTGGGAAATCCTGTACACAGGTCATATTGGCAACTAAACAGATCAAAATAATTTGGAAGGATTTTTCTGTCTTAGAAACTATTCTCTGACAAAAGTGTAGATGCTCAAAGGGTCTGCAATGGATGGATGAGGGGCAATTACCTCTTTTGGTAAAGATGTCAAACTCTGCTCTCTCTCCCTCCTCTGTGCACAGATCTCCTCTTCCATGTGTGCTGCGTAACTGGCAAGGCAACGCGAGTGAAAGTAGTGGTAGCATGGAGTCTTGGTGAAAGCTTCATTCTCCTGCACAGCAGAAGCCACAAGAAATTTCTCTGAAAAGTTATGTCTAGTGTTGTGCATATTCAGCACACATGACACAGTGCGCTGATACCTGAGCCTCAGTTCTGCATTTGTTGTACAAGAGCCACTGCTTGGATTTAAAGAATTATGTGCAGCATCCTGCATGAATAAAGAAGCCCCTCAAAAATGTATCAAAACTGTCAGGGACCTGCAAGAACACATGATATGGAATGCAGAGCTAAAGCCCAGGTACGGAGAATCAATTACTCCCTCCCCACGTGCAGAGAAGAGGCACTGGACACTGAAGGACTGAATACTAGCATACTTAAATGGGCTCATGTAAAGACTACTGTGATAATGAATGTGAAGGGTTTTGGAGCTCAAAGTGCCATATAAAGCTCCTTTATATCACCATTATTGGGATGCACAAGCTAGTATCTTTAGAATTGAGAAATAGCCTTCCTCCAGCCTAAGCAGCCTTCCTTCAACAGGAAAAAACACTTAGTTGGAGGAAGGCACCTTAGATTGGAAGAAAGTTTCAAACACCCAAAGAGTGATTAAGACTTGGAATTCACTGCCACAGTAGGTGGTGGCGGCTACAAGCATGGATGGCTTCAAGAGGGAATTAGATAAACATATAGAGCAAGAGGTTCTCTATTAGCCACAAGGTATAGATAGGGACTCTGGGGCAAGTGACACTCTATATTCTTGATGCTTGGGTGGGGGCAACAGTGGGAGGGCTTCTAGTATCCTGGCCCCACTGCTGGACCTCCTGATGGCACCTGGTATTTTTGGCCACTGTGTGACAGAGTGTTGGACTAGACGGGCCATTGGCCTGATCCAACATTGGCTTCTCTTATGTTCTCTTATATTCTTAAAAGGAAAGGTATTTTTTAAAAAATAAACAAACTTTGCTAAGTAGATTGCAGAATAGCAGTACTATCCATTTCCCTGTAGTAGCTGCACAATCATCTATATACAGGAGATGTGTATGTGTATATATTGTTCACAGCCTATTTGGGGAGCTGCTAGGCTTCACCCCAACAGCCTTTTCCCCATAACTTGGTCCTTGAAAAGAAATTTCCAATTTTGCAATGTCATTAAGTCTTCCTTTAAGAAAAAGAGTATGGTGAATTTGTTTAAATGACAAGATCTTTGATGAATACAGAATTTGGGCTTCCTCAAATAATTGACATATTTTTGGTGAGATGCACAGCTGCATCACAAAGAATCTTTGCACAAAAGACAAAGAAGAATTCAAAACAGAACTAATGTGTTAGTTTAGCTAACGATACATTTATAAAGTATGTAACTCTGGTGTTAATTCAGTCCTTACAAGAGCCTGGACCATACCCCACCACTGCAGAGCTTAGGACACTCCTGTCTTTCAGTTCTCGTGCCTTCAGCTATAAACTGCTTTCTGATTCCCTCTCCTACCTACACACACCGCGAATGGGTGGAAGTAGGGGATATTCGGGCCCCTTACCTGCTCCGGGAATTCCACAGACGTTTCCCGGGCAAACCGGGAGGTCTCCCGGAAATTCTCCCGGGCTAGCAGGGAGATCTCCCGGATCCTCCGGGAGGTGGGGGTTAATGAGTATTTTTGAGGGGGCAGTATGTCAGCTAGCTGCCATTGTCCTGTGTAGTATCCTACACCCAGCCCCCCTCCCTCATTCCTTGTTTGCTTGAGTTATGTTATGTAGTCCGCGGAACTTGCCAAGGTCGGGCAGCTGGGTGTAGGAGGAATGCTTCGCCTAGAATGTTTTGGGTATCTAGCATGTGAACTGAACCTGTGTTGACATTATAGAACTGTTGCGTTCCCATGCCATGGGCGCGAATTGCATGTTCTATTCCCGCCAGCGGGAACTGGGCTCATTGGTCCTTACCTGGTTCAAATGTCTATATTATGCCTTCCCTGGTTACCTGTAGTTATTCCTAACAATGTCCTGTTCTGGTTAAACCAACGCTTTGAAATAAACCTTGCTTGCTTTTCAACAAGGATATATTTTGAATGCTTGGGATCCAACAATGACAAACATTTCCACTTTTCCCATGGGATTAAGGTTCTCAACAAACTCAGCATACAACAATTTAAAGATCTAGCCAAATACCATCAGCTGTCAGTAATCCACAAGGCTGAATGTCACAATCAGTTACATTATCAATTAGGCTGCTTTACATTTCTAAAGGAGATCATCCACTGTTTCAAATTATACTTGGTTTAAAGAAGACAAGCTAAAGAAACAGGTTAAATCATTCAACTTGTTGAGCTCATAGGGCTCCACTGTATTAAATCTATGAATGAATTGAGCTTCTAGCTGTAATAAGGCTTTAGAGCTATTGATCTGATGTTTTCGCACATCACTGGGGGCACTTTAATCATTAATGATTTCATTAATTGTAAAACAAAAAAGGTGATTTATGCCTTGATTTGCCCTTGTGATTTGGTGTATATTGGAATGAGTACAAGAGCCTTAAGAACCAGAATTTTGGAGCATAAATCACATCTGAAAAATTTAAATGGTCAGGGTCCTTAAGTTTTGCATTATAAAGAAAAAAAATCATAAACCTGACAAATTACGTTTCATGGCTCTATATAGGTTTAGAGCCCATCAGTAGAATCAGATCAATAGCTCTAAAGCCTCTAAAGCAACAAGATATTTGGCTCACTTCTCTTGCAGTAACAAGATATTTGGAAGAAGGGGTTCTTGGATTACTTTCTTTACAACAGCAAGACACATGGAAAGGAGAATCTTCGTATTGTAAAATTTCAGAAATTGATGAACTTTACGTGTTGTATGAACTCTGAGTACACCAGATCCTTTTTGAATTGAGTTCTGAGTATGCTGTGTTGTAATGTAATATAGCAATATTTAGTTTTGTTAGCATTAGGATAGAGTTGCACTTATATAATATATCATAAAATTCTATAATTTTATTAAATCTATATAAATCTAAGTTTTCAAGTGTTATATTTTCAGTACACGGTGTTCTTTTATCTTGGGTTATTTCCACTGTGGTCCCTGTTCTTGTTTATTGCTCCCACAATACAAGCCTGTGCAAAGTGCGCTTGGTCTAAGCCCGCTGATTTCAAAGGGTTTTGATTGGAGTATGCCTGTGTAATATAGCACTGTTAGTCTGCTGAGCATTGTGTGAAGAAACTGAGTGACAAATAGTACACAGACATGACACAGAAAAGCTTTCCCTCCATTCACAATATGTAGTAGGTGGACTGAAAGATTTACAGATATTTAGTACTGCCTTCTCACTTACATACTGCAAATTCTAAATCCTTTGCCCTGCTGTGAATGTAGCTTTTATCTCGCACTTCCTCATTAAGTCATACCTTCCCAAAAGTCAGATTGCAAGCTTGTAAGGCAGAACCAAAAGATTTTCTTCTTGCTCAGATCTGATCCTCAGGTGTGGCTCTTCTTCCTTTAGGAGGTATACTGCCCTGATGCAAAGACATTGCAGCACAGAGAACAAATGCGCCTCATCTACCAGAAACAGCAGGAGAAAGGTGGCATCATTGACCCTGAAACAGAGAGAAACCGCTATTTTATCAGCCTGCAAAAGGTTAGTGAGCTCAGCGGGACTGCTGTGAGGATACTACAAACAGAGTAGTATTAGGGGCAAAATTCAGAATTGGAATAGCATTTTCAAGGCTGGGGAGCAGTTGCTCCTCTTGCTGTGGGATCAATTGGATGCTTTTACTTTGTGACATATCCTGTATAATGGCACAAGATAAAAACTTTGGTACTTGCTTTTTTGGCAGTTTATTTAGAAAATGTCCATAATTGCTGGCGGCGTTTTGCAGCTTGCTGTGGGAGGGATGTGTTCCTGGAAGTCAGGGTTGTGAGTATACAGCTTTGACGACACCACCGTATCTATTTCAGCTTCTTTGGTGGAACCTTCTCCATTCATAGGCTGGGCATGAAACGGTTGGGTTTGTGTTTCTGTCTCTCACCTCTCGGCCTCTCTTCTCAGCCCCCAGCTGAACGTGCAACCATCTCAGAAGGTGTCACAAGTGCTGAGAAGCAACTGGGCCCTCTAACAGCCTCAGAACATACTCTAGGAACTGCAAAGGCTGCACCAGAGAGGAATGAGTCTGAAAAGTCAGAGAGACCATCTTTCCCTTTGCATCACCATAACAAGGGAGAGAGGACTCGAGGGGAGAGGCCATCTTTTCGAGGCCCAGGCCAGCAACTGTACTGCAAGCCTTTGGAGGGACCATCAGAAACTCGCTGTCTCATCAACGTTGAGGGAGAATCCAAAGCCTTCCGTTGGAGATCCCACTGTAAGAATGAAAGAGGAAACTGTGGAAGGTACAACCAAAGCATTCTGAAACCTTGTACCGGAGAGCAAGTCCCTGCGTGCTCTGCTAAAAAAGAGCTGTGTGCTGGAGGTACCTCACCCACCAAGGAGGGGACTTACTTGAGAGAGGAGAAAGTTGGTGCACAGAGATGGACACAAAAGCAGGAACTTGAAACCCAAGACACAGAGAAGGATAACCTAGAGACTAGCCAGCATGAGCTCAGGAGGCCCACCAGGTGGCAGGGTCAGCATGCAGTGCAGGATTGCAGGCGGTGGGGAAAGCCCAAAGGAAGAGAACACGGATCTTATTCTAGAATGTCAAGAGGTCGTGGGTGGACAAAACCCAAATCCACTGCAGAGCCACAGGTTCAATAGACCAAAGGAGGCTCTTAGCAGGAAGAGGTTGAGGCTTGCGGAGTTCTGGAGGAGGAGGAGGAGATTGCTGTTGTGTTGTCAACCACTGGCCTCTGAGAAGAAAGCACAGCTGGCTTGGAATTCTCCTCTGATTCATGGGTGGTCTTCATGTTGTGGAGTAACAGTGAGCTTTCCTGAGATCATGATGCTGCCCAGGGAATGTGATAAAGCATGACTGTGAACAGTAAATGATGGCATGAATGGATAAATGGTAGAATCTTGTAGCCAATCAGCTGTGGTGCAGTGGTCTGGGTGGGATAAGAGGAGCATTAAATTCTTTGGCATGAAACTTCAAAAGTGTAGTTTTCAGCCCTGTCCTGTTCGTTGTTTAAAAACAAATGTATTTAAAATAACTATTTTGACAGATGAGCTATAATATAGCACAGGATAAACAGCATCCGAGGCATTCACAGGTCTTGCTGTGCACTAACAGCTGTTGGTACATGACGTGGTATGATGATGGCTCTGGTGTCTCTGGAAGGGGTGAGCTTGAGGCGTGATGATCCATTGAAATTCAGGTTCTGTTCAGTGTCCTGTAAAACAGAATGACCTTTGTTCAGTTCTAGGAAGTTGTGAACAGGCTGCTGAACTCTGAGTTCTCTGTTGGCTCATAGTAATGAGTTGGAATTCAGTGGCAGTTGGCTTTGAACAGTGAATGCGGAGTGAGCACGCCCATTTTACACAGCCAAAGGGCCTTTGTCTCTCAGGGAAAAGCAAGTTCTGAGCTATCCAGTATCTAAGAAGCTGGATTCAGAGGCAGATTCTTTGCACCAAATCCCTTCGTTCCACATATCCGCATGCCTGAGCTGCCAAAAAAAGAAACTAGGGACAAAAATGCGGCTCCACTGATCATCCCAAAAGTGATTGGCATCAGCAGCACTAACAGTGGCATGATTACCTCCTAAGTTTTAATTCCCTGCCTCAAGCCATTTTGGACTCCTGTAGTCTTAGCACAGAACATGGTTCAGTTTTGATAAAAGTAAGATATCTCCATGTATATTCTATTAGTTTTTGTAACTTGTGTGGACACACATACACCTGGTGTGAAAAATATTCAGCTCACCATTTTGTAGGAGATAACCTTTATACCAATTCATTCTTGGCTTATACAGTCCTTGTAACCAGGTCTTCACACACAAAGCCCAGCCTTGCCCTCATGAGTACGTTTTGCTCAGAGGACCTGTCTGAACCTGCTCTGTGTGTGTGTGTGTGTAGACACTGTGCCAATCCTGTGAGCCACACTTGTTGCCCAGTTTTTGCTGCTTTGCCAGATGTTTGGTAAATGCAAACCACGGGAGTTTTGCTCTAGGATATAGGAAAGTCATTGCCTGTTTTAGCTGGAAAAGCACATTGTTCTCCTAATTAATGCTTTACCATTTGACCTCAAAATTGTCCTTTTGCACTAGTTCTGTAATGACACCTTGCAGTCATGTCTGACTGAAAGTATCTTGCTGCTCCCAAGTTGGTCCCAGGCAGTGAGTTGGGTAGGAAATAAGCAAGGTTATACCTCCTCCCATGCCTCTGGCATCCAGTGTCTGCATTGCTGGAACTTCCCTTGGGCCTGAGCAGTAGTAGGTAGCCTTTATGGCTACCTGCCTTAAAGGATGGTACCCACAACAAGTCTGAGAGGCAACAACACCTCTTGCCTCCGCCTGTATGGCTACCTGCCTTAAAGGATGGTACCCCTGCCAGCTGCTTCACTTACTCATGCAGTGGACCAGCCTTGCACACACAGTACTGTGGGAAAATAGTAATGTGTGGATTTCTGCCATTTAAATCTAGAGGGTGACATACATAAAAATGCCAGGATGAGCAGCTCTAACAATGAAAGGGTTAAACTGATCTACTTTGCAGGGCCGTGGTGAGATGGAATTTGTGGTGATGTGATACAAAACCTGAGAGTATTAAAAGTAATCTGAATAAACCAGAGTATGAGTGTCTTTCTTGGGTAAAGAGCCTGTTTGCTGCTGTGTTGCCTCATACTAAGCTGGCCCACGCTATCACCTCCTAGACTCTTGTAAAGATATTTGCTGGGATTCTACACTGTGTGTGGCCTAACAATTTATGATTTCATGTGCACATAGAAGAAACAAATTCTGCTTGAGTGCAAGATTCATATGCAATTGGTAATTCCTGCTTTGGTGGCAGAGAGGAAGCTGCATTCTGCAGTTTGAAGCTTGTGGGATATCACAGTGGAAGCCTCTCATACAGGAAGAACAGGTGCCGTTCTATGCCCCAGACTATCATAAAAAGAACTAGAAACATCCATCTGCATGTTTGCTGTCTGGTTTTGATCCTCCTGAGGCTGATTTCAACCAATAATTCTCATCAAATAGGCTGAAAGGTGCTTAGAATCTGAAAATGCTTCTCAAAAGGACATGAGCCCACTACAAGAGCCAATCAACATCATTGTGTAGATTGAAATGGCCAACAATCATGTGACAGTGGCATGACACTTGTGATGGCATGAGGAGGTGGTTGTCCTATGGAAAGATGTTATTGAGGCCAGTAAACGTTTTGTAGTCCTTTCAAAATCTAGGGCAGCAGAGTCATAACTCTGGACTTAATCGTACGGCTACATAAAATACAACTGCTTCCCATTATGTAGTTGGCATCTAGCTGTCTGAATCTGTTATAGCTTGCTGTTATCTTCTAGATCAAGAAAATGTTCATAGTTAATATTTGTTATTTTTCTGGTTGCCTGCCCTGCTATTTTCTCAGACAGGATCTAATAACAAACCTGGCTAAAGCATTTGTGGAGATTGGCAACAGGTCCTAAGGAGAGGGTTCTACATTCCTTACCCACTGTTGTTAAGTTGGACAAATCTAAAATTGGACTCCCTGCTCTTTATAAGTGTGCTGCTATCACATCTAGTTTGGTCTTCAGAAGCTCAATTAGTCTTTGAACAACTTAAAGATAACCCAGACTCAGCTGCAGTATATCCCTATCAGCTGGTTATACTTGTTCCCTTCCATTAATGAGAATCTCAGGAATGGTGTGATACTTTGGACCTGCACCTGTTTCAGCAATGGTCAGATGTTAATCTTTTGACCTGGAGGTTTATCAGTAACCAAACTAATATAGCATTGGCCATTACATCTAAGAATGCATGCCTCTGATATCACTATTTTTGCTGATTCGGAAAACAAAAGGTCCCTGCGGAGAACCTTTTTCAAAAGAACAAATACTCAGAAGAAACTCATTTATCAGAAAATGACTTTTTGTTTGACATACTATGTGTGCAGGAACCTTTCTTGCTATTGTATACGTGGTTTCAGTGCCTCTACCCCATAACAAATTATTACTTGAGACTAGTGCAGTTTCTGTCTAAGTGGATTTCAGCAAGTGCATGACAAAGACTTTTGGTGTAACCAGATGCTGCTATTTCCACACCTGTGCTTACTGATAACAGGGAAGTATTTTGTACATTTGGCTATGGTACCTAATAATAGAGCAAGCATAAAGGGTGTGGGGGCACTTTGAAAGAACATTGAAAATCACAGTGTAAGGCAAAAGGAGTCTGGAGGACAGGAAGGCACGAGAATGAGGAAATGAAGCCAGAAAGTAGTACACAGTCTTCTCCCACGAGCTATCTCATGGCACATCGGGCAGAGGATGATGAGGGGAAGGTGACCACAGCAGCAGCAGTACAGGCTACTGCTCACTCAGCTTCAGGCAGTGAACACCCTCCTTCTCTGTAAAGGGCTTCATATGCACTCTGTTGAAGTGCTGCCTCCTTCATAGCAATTGGTGTCTGTTTTCCCCCCACAGCAACACAACTGATATTTGCAGACTGGAGATATGTATTCTGGGAGATCTCCCCTGCAACCCTGGGGGACCTGGCAACCCTGTGCCCAGGTCTTTCTTGGAGATTGGCAACCCTAGATTTAACAATTGCCTTTATCCTTTGAAATGTTTAATAAATGGTTTAATTAAAAAAACAAAAACTATTGCCTTTAAACCAGTGATTCCCAAATCCTGGTTTGTTTGTTTGTTTTACTTTGGGCTTCACATTTTAGACAAACCTATGGATTAAATCCAGGATTGTAGGTGGCTCAAGTAGTTAAGAAGCTGAACTGCAGACCGGAAGGTCGGTAGTTCAGCAGTTCGAGACTCCAGTGTGCCGCAAGCCGGTGTGAGCTCCCGTCTCTGGCCCCAGCTCCTGCCAACCTAGCAGTTTGAAAGCAAGAAATTGCAAGTAGATAAATGGGTACCGCTTCGGTGGGAAGGTAACAACGTTCCGTGTGCCTTGGTGTCTAGTCATGCCGGCCACATGACCATGGAAATGTCTCTGGACAGCGCTGGCTCTTCGGCTTTGAAACTGAGACGAGCACCGCATCCCTAGAGTCGGATTTGACTGGCTTTTGAGCAAGGGAAACCTATGGATCAAATCCAAGTTTCCCCTTCTGTGATTTCTGCAGATTTCTTCCTTTTGCCACCACCCAGCCCCCATATCTCTTCCAACACCTTTACCATGGGTCTCTCAGTCCAGACTTTTCAGGGGTGCCGAAAGCTACAGAACAAGGTGAGAGAGCCCCATTCAGTGAATGGAGCATCGTTCTTGGGTTTCTGGATCCAGTTCCTAAAACCATTTCACTGACTTTTCTGCCTGGATGTCCCACCAGATACTTCAGCTGAACGAGACCTGCTCAGTTCAAAACCAGAGCCAATCTTTCGACCCTTCCATCTCTCACACTTCTCCCCGTTGGAGATAACCGTCTCCCACATTCAACAACTTTACAAACCTGGACTTGAAATCACATGCGCTTCAAGCAGGGTTGGATTAACACATGTTGAAGCCTTAAAATAGGTCAAGTTTAAGAAGCCACGTACTATTACCAAAATTAGTAACTTAGTTTTTAAAAAATTGTTTACAGGCCCTTTATAAAATGAGGCCCTAAACTGTAGCTTGCTTAGGCTGTGCATCGATCCAGATCTAGCTTAACCTGTCAGGAACTGTCCACCACT